CCCCCCCCGGTGTCTCTTCGCGCACCCTTCCCCCGCCCCTTGTCACTGCGCATGCGTGCAAACTTAACTTTGTCACACCTTATAGCACAATGCACGCTGCTCTCAATGTCTGAGTACTAACCTTATCTGAACATCTACAGTTTTGTAGATGTATGACGTTTGTCATAATCGTGACAAACTTCTCCCGCGCATTTTCAAGAAATGTTTTCAACGCTATGAAGAACTAGTACCAGTGAATTTCACTGTCTTTTTTTCTTTAATCGGCCATTTTTAAAAATAATTTAAGCCTTGTTGGATGACGTAACGGGGGGTTAGGGAGGATTGGGTTTGTGGTGGTATGATTGTGGGCGGTAGGAGGAAGGGAGTGGTAAGGGAGGGGGAAGGTAGGGGATATTAGGGCGGGGGGGATGTGGAGCAAGTTAGGATGGGAGTGGGGGGAAGTGAGGGCTGGGGGGGAGGGGGAAGTTTCTGTTGGGTGGTGGAGGAAGTTGTGGGTGGGGGAGGAGGCAGTTACGCGTGGGGGAAAGGTACCTAAAAATGATTTTAGCATACTTTTGGTGACTCTATTGCATGATTGCTTGTTATTTGCAGGTGCTGATTCTGCAGGGTCCGTGGTCGGAGCGCGACGCACAGATGACGGAGACGTTTGCCCGGCTGCAGGACATATACGGGCCGGGACGCGTGCTCGGCGTCCTGGGTAAACTACCGCACGCCATCATCACGCCGCTCCTCGGGCACTCGGGAGGAACGCTGCAATCTCCTACTGCGCTAGCACCTGCGAATTTAGATTTAATCTGTGCAGAGCGATTACTGAATTCTCAACAATCTAAACAGATTTTTGTTTATAAGCTGGCGCGATTAGATAACGCCAGTATAATGAAGATCTAATCGGTCTGTCAACGCTTCAGGCAATTCGGTGTCGCAGAGCCAGGCGGAGTTCTTGGGACTCGAGGATGCGGAGCTAGGTGAGTGGGGTGAAATGGGCAGGGTAAAACGCGAGGCCTCGGAAGCTCCTAGCTCCACGCAGCTCGTGCCCGCTGCTGATGACGACAAGCCCGCCAAAGTGCTGCCGAAGTACGCCCTCTACAATGCTACTGGTAAGGCCACACTTGTTTTGCATACAACATAACCTATTGTAGCAGATAGTGGTAGACATGTTTGGCTGGAAGATTTATTATAAGAAAGTCCATCTATACTCATTTATCTGCTTTTTGCTTTTGCATCGGCTCTATTTAAATCTACTTATGATTATAAAAGTAGTTTTTGTTCATCTCTAGGTCCGCCGGGGAAGGCGGCGCTGCTGTACTCGTCGGGCTGGCCAGAGCTGCAGTGGCCGGACGGCAGCGTGACGGTGCTGGACACTCCCATTGGCGAGCCTACTATCAAGCCTACGCGTCTCTACACGATCCTGGTGGTGCGCTTTGCCGACGGCGACAACACTAGAGACAAGGTCGGATACGTCGTTACTGAGAGTATTTGCGAAGGAGTTTTTTAATGACCGTTATTTGATGAGTTAGTAATACTGTAAGAATATTACTTGTAATCTCATTCTGTTAATAAGAGAAGATTCTGAAGTAATATTTACTGGTACAGAGAAACTTTCTCTAGTCCAGTCTTCAGTCAGTCTTATCTAGTTCAGTAGTAGTTGGTGTTTCTTGTTAACAGCATATTTGACCAATTTTTCAGATAACTTTGGAGTTCAGCTTTAAGCAGTCGGCGGGCTGGTGGTCTGCGGCGGGGGTGGAGGTGAGGCGCGGGCGCGGCGCGGGGCTGGGCCTGCTGCCGCCCGCGCCCCCCGCCGCGCCCGCCGCCGTGCTGGGCCGCGCCTACACCTGCCCGCAAGCGCTCGTCTACGCGGCTGAGAACGCCACTCTCACTTTTCCTGATATAATGGTAATAAGAAAGTTGTGTATTTCAAATTATGTTCTCAAAGTACAATTAAGTAATTTTGACGCAAAACATAAATATAATATTATCGTCTTTGTTACATTCTATATTTTTCAGTTTAAGCCCGAATATGTTTCATATTCACACAATGTTTCTGTTACATTTCCAGATGCAACCATTCATGGAGAACACTCAGAAGTTTGCCGACGCTTTCGACTGCATCGGCTTCACCTCAGTTCCGATATGGTAAGCAGCGATAGGAATCGGTCAAGTTTCATGCAGACTTTGGGGAAGACACGGTTTTGTGTCTCATGTATAAATTAGTCTTGTTAGACTAAATGCTAAGAATTCTTTATCTAGAACATAAGAATAAGCGAGATCTATTTTTTGGGATGTTTGACTTTATATTCTTAATATGTCTATTCCAGGTCGGGACTGATGGTGTCTTGCATCATGGCGCTTGCGCTGGCGGTGTCGGTCTGTATGATCATGGACATCAAGACCATGGATCGCTTCGAGACGAGCCGCAGCAAGCAGCTCACAATAACTGTCAGCGAATAAACAATTGCAAGAAAAGCAACCCTCCGCGGATCGCATGCTGTCGTGACACTAGTTCTTTGGGCGGTTATCGAAATGTCCTTTTATTAAATTAATAATATGTAGTTGAATATGTATAAGTAGTGAAAATAAGAAAAAAGTATAGAGCTAGGATGCCGTGTGGCGCCGGCGTTAGAATGTCGTCACCCCATTTCCTCCCGCGGGTGTCGTAAGAGGCGACTAAGGGAGTCCCGCGGGGGCCGCTCCGCCGACCTGCGAGCGTCGCGCTGAGGACGGCGACGTGCGTCGTTGGGCGCGGCTGCCGCCTGCTCGTTGCCGCACGCTCCCGGACGTGCGGCCCTCAAAGCGCAGCCTTTGACGAGCAGCGAGCGCCGGCACACCTTGACGCACGCGCGGTCTCGCCGTCAGCGCTACCTCGAGGCCCAGCCCCCATTCCCGTGCTGTTGTGGGAATTAAAAAGAATGCAACAGCTGCTTATCCTCCCGGGCATGCCGTACGAGGCGGCAGAGGGATGTAAATACTACCTAACACCTCGGGGAGAAACCGGGCTATTCTTAAGTTACTGTGCGCGTTGATGCCGTTATTAGTTGTAAGTATTAGGTTATGCGGTTGGTGTCCTGGAACATAGGTTTTCGGGATTCCTTGGGGGTCACTTAAGCTAGAAAGTAATCTGCATTAGAGTGCACTTCGCCTGTAATATGGCGTCGCGGCCGTTTGTGGGGATTTGCAGTAGTCGTGTCCAGTCGCCGGGCCCAGCGAGCCGGCGGCGGCGAGCACGCGTCCGAGTCGTCACTCGGCGTCCCCCGGCGCGTGCTCCCCCGCACGCCCGCCGGACGCGGCGCCGCCCTAAATCCTTCAAACGACGCCATGCCCTTGTGCATTCACATCTTTTGTTTTTCTTTCTTTTCATCCTTAGAATAATAAGAAATGTACATATTAAACAAAAAATAATTATAATGAACTCGGTGGTTTTTTTTAATAATCAAACAAAACCTAATCATAGTTAAATCGTGTCTGACCGAGACGAGACTTTGACAAATTAGTATTTTTAACTAGCTTCCGCCCGCGCCTTCGTCCGTGAGGAATTAAAAAAAAAAGTAGCCTATCTGTTTACCAGACTATCCTCTACGTCCATATAAAAGTTTATCGAGATCCGTTCAATACTTTAAACCTCAAACACTAACAAACATTCATCTGGACTATTGCATTGATAACGTTAGTAAGATAGACAATTTACAGCAAGTCTGATGTGTCAATTGCACATAGAAAAAACTTTGTGGGCGCTCAGAACTTACCGCCGCAAACCTTTCACTGCGGCGGCGCAGCGCGGTGCGGTGCGAGGCGGTAGGAGGCCGCATGGCGACCACATTGTTGTAGTAGTTTTCGCGGGCGACTCCGTCCGCGTGAAATTTAAAAATAATAAAAACGACAGGAAAATGTAGCGTATGTTATTCATACATAAATTACCTTTCTGACGGTGAAAGAATTTTTATAACCGCCCAGAAGTGTTTGAGCCTATTCATTACAATCAAACAAACAGAGTTCTTAGTCTAGACTATTTGTCGCGCGTCACTTTCACTTGCGCGGCTACAGGTGGCGAGCTTGTCACCGACACATGTCCCCTCACTTGAGTTACCTCATTGTCGTGACATTGAGAAAGGCAGACTGATCCGATGACATTGTCTTGGTTAATAATAAATTATATTGAGAAATTATTGTTATTTGTATCAATGGGCGACGGAATATTAGTTAGCGCATTTTTGATATGGTCTCGGAAGGAATAGGTTCAAAATAAAGGTCGGTAGATGGCGTTGCATTGAAATTACTTGTGCGAAATAATGTTTAATTAGTCATAGTTATTATTCTTTGAGAAGACAATCTTATTCATAAGATTATAAAACGTTTTAAATATAATTATGAGTTTATGATTAATGTAAAATAATGAATAGCTATGAGTTGAAGAATAAATACTGTGACAGGTTTTATTGGCAGATTTTTTTTGATATACTTTCCAATCCAGTCTGCAGTTGTCAGTTGTAGCGAAAATGATCGGCAAATCATTTAGATTTGATTCGATTAAGAAAGTATAAACTTATATTCTTGATACCAAAAACAATGAAAGAAGTTGTAGATCTTTCACAATAAAAAATCTAGATTTCTTTGAACTGCTAGCAAATTGCGAAGGAATTCATTAAATGCTCTAATATTTGGCAGTAGAACAATAAATTGATAATATGAAGAAGACACGTGTCTTGTTGTAGCGAATGTACCAGCTGTAATGATTGCATAATCTTTACGATGTATAAACAGTCGCTTCCTTTTCATCTCCAGAAGACAAATGTGTTTCGTACATAAATTCGGCCACACCCGCTGTATAATGAGGGGTCAGCAGTCCCTCTGGCGGCTGTGCGGCGACATGAAGGCTTCTGGGGCCAGTGAAAGCGCATCTCACATCCCGAATACGCCAGAAACAAGTTCGGTGTTCGTTTTAGGGTTCAGTCACATAAAACCATTTTAACCATGAGTTAAATTGGAAAATTACTAGTATTTGGTCTATTTTGTACTTAATGGATTAGTTAGTTGTGTTTAAGAACGTTGCGTAGCCATGCTATGTCAATTGTCTAATCTAAAATGCCTATAATACTATAATTTTATATAACGAATATTTAAATATAAGATTGCTATCGATTCTCAAAACAAAAACAAAATATCCTTTAATATTTTACTATCTGTATTGACTGACATTGTGAAATTGGTGATTCGTAGTGCGGTGTTCGGTCGCTTTGGTGCAGAGTAAATATGATATGTATTTCATAGTAATGTGATACGGAGATGCCGAAACTGACAGCGTGAGATGCTACTGCTCTGTCGTGTCTGCATGTGTGAATAACTGTGCGTTTCCACTGACGGATCACTCGTAAAAAAAGCATGTTTTAAATGCCAGTAAATATGATAAATTTTACGGAACCCATAAATAAATTGATCAATAATTATCTGCTGCATATTTATATAAGTTACACAAGATGCGGCAACCTGTAAGGTGCTCGTTCGACAGTTTTGATTAAAAACGAAAGTAAATTCGATTTGTTATGTAATAATTTCTTTCTAAGGTTCTTAGATAAGATAAACCTATACTATGTGTTATTAGATATTTGTAAGATATTTAAATCATTTTCATAAGCAGCTATCGACCACGATTATGTACACACGGGAAAAAATATTTCTTAGAAAATATCGTCCACTCTATGTTACCTGACGAACTCTAACTCAGTTACTCTTGTGGTTATGTCGTTGCTAATAACTATGGTTACCGATGACAACGTAGCTTTTTAATACAAGAAGGTCAAAGTTTTATTTAGTTTTACATAACACTATTTTACATAACTCATAAACATGTATGTGATAGAAAGTGAGAGAATAATTGATGAGTAATGCAAACACATGGACGCAATCAAATGACATACAAAACAGAATATCCCTCGGACTGTGACATGTCACGATGTAATGCCATTATAAATAATGCCAATATGGGAAGTTCTAGAGGATGCTATCATAATTTGGGAATCGAACCTGATACTTGGAATGATCGACATACATATACTCCCGTTAATCTACTAATCCTTGGTTTATTTATTACAATCAAATAGTATATTTTGTATCGTCGCCGGAAGCGAAGCTGCATAACATCATTTACACTTCCCTCGCACTAATTAACCTCGCGCGAAGGTCGACATTTTATAATGATACAATTAAAATATAATAAAAAACAATTAGGAAATTCTTCCTGATCCTCTAACACAAAGAAATATGTTTATTGCACAAACCTTGGCATAATAAATAACATTTTTTCATTGAGTTTTCTTATTCAAACTATTTTTTGGTTAACATAAATTTATAGTTACGTAACTGGCGAATAAATCGTAATCTACTTAAAATAAGCGTTTCACTTCTATTGACAAAATAATAATTACATGTATTTATTTGACATTAATGACAGTGGAATTCTACGGTATAAGCAAGATGGCAATCTGAATGATAAACTTCGAACATCGTCAACCAATATTTTTTGTTTTGTATAGTTTCTTTCAAAACAAGTGACTACTCGTGGGTCGTGGAAGAGGTCCACTGCGAGTCGAGCGCCTAGCACCTAGCGCCTAGCGCCCATCACACAGCACCTAGCGGTTACAGACTCTATAGTAAATAGTAAGTAATCCATTGGTCACGGGAATACACCTCACTGGCTTGTCCGCGGTCATTGCGCGCCGCTGCGTGCTTACCACCTGTTGCTGGACGGCGCTCTGCAAGATGTCAATATCAAGTTACATTGAAATTAATTTATCTTTTAAAAAATGTAAGTAACTATCCTTTTAATACAGTATGGAATTTGGATTTTAATCGTAGCCTTATCATTGAATACGCTGTTACATATTTAAATATCGTTTCAATACTTGACAGTTAGCGTATTTTAGTTACGATATCTTATCCTGCATACATTTAGTCTGTCCGCGCCGCGCCGTCTAGGATCCCGATATGAAAGGAATGTATTAGTTCACTGTTGCATAGCGCCGTCCCGCAAGCTTTCACGCCGAATGACCTAAGCTTATATCTCATCGGCGCATTCGTTGCGGAGAGTGCGCGTGTTACAGACGTGTGTTGATTTTTTTTATTTTATACGTTATCAAAGACTCTAATAATTAATATATTTAAGGACAAAAACAACAGAAACGCAAGTGTTGTGTGTGGACATTGTGATTAACAAATCTGTTGTGATACTTTATGTGAGAAAATCGCGCTTCTTACGGATTTGTACGGTGTTTCGGTAAGTTATGTATATTACTGAAATTCAAAAATATGCAGTTCGTAAGACAAGGGTGATTTTCAAAAATTATATCAGGAATTCAAAGTGAAATAAAGTTTTAGATAAAGAGAATTATTAAAATACAACTCAAACACAACAACAATAATAAGGGTATACTCTTAAGGGTATGAAGAGATGAGGGATTTCCATTTGGAATAATCTTGGCATACCTCTTGTCCCTTTGTCTCAACCTTTTATTCTAGCTCTAACGAGTTTCGCCAGATCGTTAGAGCTGGATGGCAAAGAAGGTACTTCTAATGTCTTCTCTGTCATATCCATACTCTTCCGGTTGATGTAAAATACGGGATATGTTTATTAATAACGTAAATTCGAAAAGCGATCGAAATTTTTGAAATCGGTTCAGTAGTTTCGGAGCGAATTCAATGCAAACAATTAAATCTTATCTCTTAATAATACTGGTATTCTAAAGTATTTGTTATTTTGTTTCAAAATATAGAAACATATGGTCATACAAAGTGGCAGTTGAAGAGGCATTGTCTTGAATAGATAAAATAACAATTTCTTAATACAAATGTTATTAAGACATTTAGTAACATTTGCTTATTTGTGTCGAGGTTACGGATTAATTATAATTACATGATGGTTGACTTAACAGAAGCGTTGCTTAGTTTAAGTAATCGTAATGTGAACTTTTTTAATTAAAATGTTACTGCGAAAGAAACATGTGGCGTTGTTACAATAGTTAACATTGTTAACATTTTTATTTCTCTTACATTAAACAGACAGATCATTTAAAAATGATGTAGATTGAATTCAAATTGTTATTATTGTGTCTAGGAGCAAGTGGATACTTGCACTAGTTCGTCGACCAGTTTTGTTTACTTCATTAATATTTGATTTGTAAACGCTGTCGCTTTCTGCCATTCATTATCTAAATATATAGAAAACCGGTTGGATGTCAGATATAAATAAAAATACATAAAAGTGAAATGGTTCGATTATAGATTATGTTATCTATTTAACAAGAATATTTAAATAAGATGCAACACTACTTAAATAATATTAACATAAATATGTATAAGAAAGGTTAATATTTAACTTTATCTACTTAATTCTTGCTAAGTTACGGCTGTCATTTAAAACTTTCCCAAATATTAAAATGATTTTTAACGTTCTATTTATTCTGTGGTTCAAAATAAACTGAAAAGGAAATTAAATCATCAAAACAACAAAAAATACTAGTCTTCGTAAAAATCAAATTGTAATCCAACAATCTTTATAATACTGTCGACCCATTTTCTGCATCATAGAATATCAGCAATTTTCACAGAGTCTCGTTTGGGTCATTTTAAGTTGGTGTTTTTATTTTTTGTCAACGGAAATTGTAGTTTATTTCTATAACTGTTTTACAAATAGTCGTCAGAAGTACTTGTCACTTCTGTTCAATTTTATATGCACAAGGATTTAAATAAATTAATTTTTAAGTGTACAGTTATGCCGCGTTAAAACGCCATATGCCTAATGTTTTGTACGGAGTAAGGACTACCGTCATATGGTCATAAAATCTACTTCAATTTAGTGGTAACGTAAAAATACTCATCGTGAAAGTATCGATGTAAAACACCATACACATAATTCCCAGCATCGGGTTCGCAAAAAGTAGTTATAAGGTGCGGTGGGTTTTAAATCAGCCGTAGAGAGCGTCGCCGTCGCAGAGAAGCGGGTGAAATTCGCACGGCTTGTAAAACAGGTGGGCAAGTGGCACGTCGGACATTATACTAGTTTCGATAATCGACTGCAAGTTTGAAGAAATATGTCCTTATTCTGGCCAACATTAGTAAAGTTCTTAGGTATTTTTTTTTATAAAAATAATGTGCGTAAATGCGATATATGTTTTCATTGTAAATGTTGTGTCTAGAGGATACTGGAACCAAAATTGGATGGATTTAAGGAGTACCCCAAGGTTCTCATTTAGGTCCTATGTTATTTTATCTCACTTAATGGTACATAATAGTGAAGTTCGTACAAGTTCTGCTTATGATTCCAAAGAGTAGACTTGCACAGATTTTATATAACTCGTATGGCTTCGGAATAAATAATACCGTTGAAGTAACAATCTAGTGATAGATTTTGTTTTAAGAAAATGTGTTTTCGACCTTACTTTTTGCTTTTAACAAGGTAATGTTGCAAATGGCAATATCGTGCCAATGACTAATATATCGGAGGCGTTCCGTTAGCTGTATGTATAACATGGGAGAGTAACGGCTCACAAACAAACAGACGCACTAACTGTGAACTCGGTCTTGTGTGAATTAGATGCTCATTGCATTTACTCAGCTATACTAACAAAGGACTTTTTTTTATAATATCGGAGTGTTGATCTGAATAGTTCCACTAGTTATACGTAATACGGTTATAAAGTTTATAGTCTGTATAATTATGAATGTTCTATTTGATTGTATGATTTCAAGTAAGCCTATCTAACAGTGGGCTTCTACTGAAAATGCAATTGTAAATATGTTATTGTTATCCCTGTCATTTTCTTCAAATTAAACAAAGATAACCAAATATTTTGTTCAAATGTTTCCGTAATAGAAACCGAAGGCTTTTATCACGCTTGCTTTAAACAAATATAAGTGCTAAAGTAACTTGGCAAAGTTGAAACTCACTAATGTTACGAAAAAATAATACATTTTGTAGTGGTTTGCATATTACATTTACTTTAAGTGGAATTCTTCAAAGCCAGCATTATTTATGCTAGAAATAAATTGAAGTCAGTTATTTTTTGCAGAATAAATTTAAATTTGTCTGTTGTGAACGATTATTCGTGTTTTAAAATTTTCAATAAAAATTGACAACGAAATTTCACTCGATTTAGAATGCAAATTTTATTGCAAAATATTCAATATGTAAATATCGAAAATTAAAATGTACATTTTAATGCAATAGTTGCTTGTAGTAGATTAACTTGGTAGTGACTTGACAGCTTGTTTTAGATCGCTGGTTAATGTCAGGGATATTGGAATAAAAGAACATTTAATTAAATTATGAAAGGTTCTTTCTTTCTGTCGGCCATTTCCTAAAATGGGATAATATAGTCTTAACAATAGGAAAAATTCTATGGTTGCTTTCTCACTTTATATGAACAGTAGGCCATCTATACAGTTACAATGCTAAATAATTATATGGAATGATAGAAAAAATTACGTCTGCTAAGATATGGTTTATTGGCATGTCCACTGTTGCGCATCATCCGAGATAATAATGGAAACAGTTATGGCATTGAATAATTTCAGATTTGTATGGAGCAAGGTGTAAACGATTAACTTTTTTGACGTGCAAAACTTTTCATATATCAAAATAACATTTCTTTAAAAAAAATCAAAAATTAATTTTTATATGTATGTCGTTAGATTAATCTTTAGTAATGTTTAGAGACGCCATAATGTTTGGAACCCTAAAATACTTAAGAAACCAATACGTTATTAAATCTCAACGAATTTATTGCTTTTTTACTCACATTTGTATAATTATTTAGTATATTAATGTTATTCCATTGGCAATAAATATTTTAAAATTATGAAATCGCTTCAGCTCGTAGCATGCACCACACGCTGTGGGTAGCGCACAGTCATTACGTTGCGAGCGGTAATCGTCCGCTATTGTCCGCTACGGACTCTTAGTGACAATAGTTGTACCGTTTCCATCCGATTGGTAACGGCTTAGGTAATTATTGAAATGTATAAAACTTATTATTCGTAGAAGAATCTCACATAAGACTTCGACGTTTTCGTTTTTTACATTTTACTTTTATGGCTTGTGATATAATTTTTAATATTCTTATAATTTTCACAGACTATTGAGTGAGAGGAAGAAATAATGAAATAATATTTTCTAGTTTTATAATCCTTGACTAGTATGTAACAAGAGATATAATGAAATTGGAATGAGATATTAGAGATTCAATATCTCGAGGTAGATCTTAAGATTAATAACTTTTTAAAACAGTATGGTAGTTGACATAAATGTGGTGGTCAAATTATTTGCAACAAATCACTTATTGACCGCACATTGCGGTTCTGGCACGCATCTGTAGATGTCGTTAAGATAGCAAGTCATTGTGCTAAATATATGTGCTGTTATTCAAACTGGATGTTATTGTTATTAACTTAACAGTATAATAAGAAATTATTGCTTTAGTCTAAGAGCAGTCGCACACCTTTGACTAAGATATTGACAACCGTTGGGCGATTGTCGATTGTTTCGCAGCCCATTCAACTGTTTAGTTGCACAAATAAACTGTAGTGTGTACCTCCATATAAGCTTATAGGAATCAAAGCGCGCAAATACCTTCTAATTAGATTCTATAGATTTTGGTTAGTGTTTAGTTGTAGTTGGGAATGTTCAAATAAATTCACAAAGACAATATTTCCACCTGTTTTTGGGAATGATTGCTGTAAAATTAATTGGTCGCTTTCGATCAGGTCTTGATAAGTTGTTTGTGCGACCTTTCACCGGAAACTGCGTGTGCATGTTGAATAACTTCTCACTAATCACTTCACTTTAATTTGCGCCTCATTGTATATTACAGATGTTACGTAAATGACATTTAAAAGCCGTTTTCGGTTATTTGTTATGTAATATTGCTACTTCATGTGTGTTTGTGCGTTTATCAGAAATTATACAATTGACCGACATAGGTACACCGATTATGAGCGTATTTCATTATTATTATTTTTTTAAGGAAATGTTATGGCATTGATATAATTTAATAATTTTAAACATATTTCATAATCCTTTCGTTGTTTAAAGGTACAAAACATTGGAGTGAAGTATCATGGGCTAGTACTACAAGAAGTCGAAAAATGAATGAAAGTCGTGAGCGAATTCGGCGGGAAAGAGAGAGGGAGAAGAACACATATACCTCTCCCCGTCTGGCGCTGCGGCGGGTGCTGCTGCTGGCTGAGGGCCGGCAGTTCCGCGAGGCGGCCGCTATTGTCTCCCGGCTCGGCCCCGGCGTGCTGCAGACCGTCGCCGCTGACTTACCTATCGACCTGCTAGTTGAGGCTTTGCCGCATTCCGCGCATTTAATAGAAACTTTATTAAATAGGTGAGTTGCTCTTATATGATCTAGGATAACGTTAATTTGTAATTTATCTAGGTTACACAATTTGCCTAAGTGCAAACGAACGGCATTCACAATCTATTGGTAACATATGTCCTTTCCCTCCATTGATATTAAAGATTAACTGCCGAATACTGAAACGACATTTAAATATGTAACACAAAGTCCATTAAAACTTTGACGCCTGTCAGATTGTAGCGGAGCTTACCATGCAAAGTGTTTTGGATTCGTTTCGGTATTCGGCCGATAGTTTCTTATCTCTAGAAATAACAAAAATGTTTGATAGTATTGAGTTAACAAGGTCGTAGTCATAAACATGCACCTGCTATGTAGATCATGCATTCAATTCACGGAACTGAATGTATTTTATGAAAGTCGATAATCGAGATTGTTGCAAGAATTATAAAGTCAATTAGGATACATATTAATAAGAGAAAAAATGTTGCCATTGTTTACGCGTTTTAACAATTTCTCTTATAAATAAAGTGTATTTTTAATTAATCCTGCTTATAGCGTTAATTAATTTTAAGAGCGATTGTCGATTGTTTCGCAGCAAATTCAATTCAACTGTTTAGTTGCACAACTAATAATCGAGTAGTGTGCGCACCTCCATATAAGCTTATAGGACTCAAAGCAAGACTAAACAGTTGTGCGATAGTTTCTAAAGGGTGCGCAAGCTCTTAGCAATATTTATAACTTTAAAGAGTCAAAAATGTCTTCATTTAGTTTAGCTTGTTCGTTTTTTTTTGTAAAATGTCAAGTTGAGGGGGTGTTTGTAATCTAGACAAGGTATAACATGAGGTAAACGGCCAATGGCTTGTGTATTAACACGTCGTGGATTGAAAGTTGGCGGCCGGTCGACGAGAACTTTCAAGTCCAAATGTGATAAATGTGCGGATGATATCTAGTGCTGTGCGTTTGTCACACGTTCTTATTTATTGGTATTCTCAGGTATACTAAGTAGTGTCATCGTTTAAAAAAAGTTACTCTCGGTACAATGAAAATAATTTGCATAGTCCAGGTGGATTATGCCAGTGGGGCGTTTCTAAGTTGTTGACATACTCGTATAACGATGTAAATCTTTCGATTTGGTCACATATTTGGTTTTATGGAAGAGATTATCTCAATGTCAATATAATAATTATTATTACACATATGTATTACATTCTTTTACTTTTACTTTTTATTCACACAGTCATATATAATTTCCTTTATGTCGTAATTTCTTACGTTTGTAAGTTTGTTGACAATATTACATAGGTCTACCGGAAGATAATAATTTTTAGAATCACCGAAATCAATTTCATAAAGGAAATGAAATTATTTGACGTTACGAGCAAAACTGCGGGCGACAGCTAGTGCTTCAAGTGTTTGAGTCTCGCGGTCTTTGACCTACAGACAGACGGTCAGATGGTACAAGTTATTATGTCATAGGTTAGTTGCGACAATATAAAAAGCATTATTTATTTTTTATAACTATTTCAACTAAGCTCTAAGCAAACTTTTTACTATAGTTTAATGGCGGGAATCGAATCTAAGATCACGTTGGGGGTTCTTCGAGACATCCATTAGGCTATTGGCGTTTGTTTTTAAATTTAAACAAGCATATTTTGTAGACTTGCATATGTTTTACCTGATATCACATGTGAGTTATGTTGTATCGACTTTCGGAAGTGAAAGTGCCGGTGGGGCAGCGGGGGGTCCGCGGCGGGTGCGGGGGGCACACCGGCTAGACCGGCCGTCTCAGATTTTTTGTAACCGTTTTATCGATTTTGTGTTAATTGTACTCCCCCTTGGTCTATAATGTTGGCCCTTTCATTTATCGATGAGGTTTTTTGTTACAATAATATCGGAAACATTGAACTTTCCACAGTTTCTTAATAGTTACTAGCTGTTTCTCGCGATTTCGCTCCAGTGGAATTAAAAAAATAATAAAAAAATACATCCTATGCTACTCATAGACAAATTACCTTTCTAACGGTGAAGGAATTTTTAAAATCCGCCCAATTGTTTTTGAAATTTCAATACATACAAAAATACTCCAATTTTTAATCCAAAAATTATTTTAATTATTAAATACATTGACTACTTAGAAACCTTGTATCCTTAAAGAGGTTTAAAAAATTAAAGTTTTTTCTTAAGAAATGGACTGTTTTTATACAAATTTTATGTATATAAACTGATGTAATGTGTAAGATTCCAAAGTTTTAAATATATTGCGGAATGCGGACAGCGAACACTCGATTTAAGAATTTGTATGAGCTTTAACTTTCTAATGATATCTTATATTTTGTAATAAATATAAATTGCATAATTTCCTCTGCCTACATTTTTGGTATTGAAAGAAAGGTTAACATCGATTTTTGAACTGCTTGTTCTCAGTTAAATTTTGTACGAGCGGTAAAAAAATAATTAAAACCTATACTAAACTAAACTGATGTTAATTGTTAAAATCAGTAACTTTATAGACACAAATTATTGGACATGTAAATGTCAATCTTATCTTACTTCTTACTAATATTATAAATGCGACACTTTAGATGGACGGATGGATGGATTGATGTTTGTTAGCGTTTGTAGCCAAAACGGCTGAACGGATCTCTATGAAATTTGGCACAGGTTTAGAGCATAGTCTGGAAGAACACAAAGGCTACTTTTTATCCCGGGAATAGTTACGGTTCCCGTGGGATTCACTAATTTAGTTTTTAATGTTTACTCGATCATTCTGCAACGGTTCAACATATCTTATTGTAATTTGGCACAGATATAAACCAAAGTCTGGAGTATACATGGGATAAGCTTCATCCCCGAGAAATGTCCGGTTCCCGAGGGATACGTAGCTTTTTGTTATTTATATAGTTTGTATGTTTTCTAATACCATGCAGACGAAATCGCGGCCAACAGCTCGTTTTAAATATTTTTCATAAGTACAAATATATATGCTAACTCCTATAGTTAGTTAAGTAATTTACATATGTTTGTATTAGAAATTAGATGATTTTAAAAGTGAAAGGAGCAAACTTAAGTGAATGGTATCGATAACTTAATGTTTGTGCAAATGATTCAAATGTTTAACTTAACTTTCTTATTTAGTAAGTCTATCTTAAAATATTTATCCTTTCTATGCTCGGAATACTTAAATTAGAGAATTAGTAAAGGATGCAAAATACAAAAGACCGTGGTAGTGAAAGAGATAGCAGATTTCAAATTAAAATTTCTTCTGTTTGACAGGTTAATTTCCTTAGAAGTCCTGCCCCGTCCGGAGTTGCAGTGCGAGGCGGTGGCATGGCGACTGGTCGGTCTACTGGGAGTAGACCAGAGTTCTGGTCTGCGCGCGCGCACCGCCAAGCTGGCTAATGCACTGGCGCAGTACACGCCAGACGCCAGGGACACTGTTGATGCTAGGAGACGACAACTAGATGCCGCTGTACAGGGTTTGTTCATTTATTTTTAATCGCATAAAAATATTCAGAATTGTTTAATTAATCATTGTCTTTATTTTTCATACTTAAGATTTAATGTTATTAATAAATTAAAGGGATGTTATCAAAGGTGTTGCCTTAAACGTGTAGTAATTTTTTGAGAAATGTGTTTATTGCAACTGTTAATTTTATGAATAAAAATGTAGGTGAAATAAAAATCGATTAAGGTGTTCATCTTTATCTATCTCATGTTTTTATTGTTCTTGTATCATAAATTATTAGCAGGCCGTGTCTACAACTTTCTCTTTAACTCTGTGAGAAATGTTCATATCTTTTCGATTCGCTTCTTCGGTCACGATTCTTGTTAATTCGAGGAGTTTTTATGTAATTGTATTTAATAGATTGATAGCAGTATTTAGACATAAGTATTTAATTTGGATAACTGGTAATTTGAGAACGAGTGTTTTGGTCAAATTATTAAACTATTTTGTGTGGTTAGAAACTTGACCCCTAACTATGATTAAAATAGTAACTCTATTGGCTGTAGCCGGATAAGAAAAAATGATAATAGATGGCGCTGACAACAATTGAAAATATTTCCATTAATTTAAAAGGAAAAGCATATTTAGATTAAATATTATACTTTTTGGTAAAGAAGTTAATTGTAAAATCATAATTGTTTTAATTTACAAAATATTGTGGTTGAATATTTATTAAGCACTGGCCGCCTAGAAAGCATTAGACACAATTGTATTTAAAAAAGAAACAAGGATTTTAGGCGGGAACAAGAATGAGAGTCAGTGTGTGAAGAAAACAATATATTAACTTTTATATTTTAACAATGCCTCTTTACCAATTTTTGTATATAGTGCGTGTGTGAGTGTTTATCAACAAAAAATTAAGATTCTATCAATGGTACTTGTATACATTTGTACATGGTTCAAACGAACCGTATTTAAGTAGCAGCAATATTTATCAAATAGTACCATCATACAACAAAAGCATCATAAGAATTATCTCAAAAGAAGGTAACAAATTGCATTTAAATAGATTTGGATTTTATCAAACGCAATAGAAGTCAGGTGCATAGTAACAGTTTTGCGCGCCATAACATCGGCGTCCCGGGCAGTCGCGAGACGACGCGGAGGCGGCGGGGTCAAGAAGGGGGCGGGGGCGGCGGAGTACGGGAACATCACGCGTGCGTGACGTCATCCTCGCGTTCGCGCCGCGGGGCACAATTAAAACGGCGCGCCGCGCCGTTTTAATTGTTTCAAAAACGTTGTCGATGAATATTTAATTACGTACTGGCCGCCAAGAAAGCATTGGATAATATTGTATTAAAAAAAAAACAACAAGGATTTTAGGCGCGAATGAGAGTGCAAGATGTGAAGAGAGCAATTTTCGTATGTGTGTTTGTTTATCAGCAACTTTACTTTTATACAGTATCTGGATATGTTAATGGGCATTATGATCCATAGAATGGATACGATTACCAACAATTGCATATTACTGTTTTGTTTATCTTTCTGTAATGATATTTTTCAAGGGGAAATAAATTATTTGGCTATGATTCATTCGACGTAATTTTTATATTTAATGTCGAAATCAGAAGGAAGTGTTTCCGGTAGCGAAGGCTTTTATTATAGATCCGTGTTGCGATAGAGCCTGCGGTAACTCCGACGAGGAAGACTCGAAGCCTTCCCTTGCACCGGATGTGATAACGCGGCTCTAACTTTAAAATTACTTATGGGTTACCTTCAATAAAAATTATTTAAATGTTTTTGTTACATTTCAATGTTGTGGAAAATTTTATCGAAATTATGCTCGGAAATGCTTTTTTATAAGTGGGTTTATTCCAACTTAAAATATTTTTGTGAGATTAACAAGAAAATATATACCTACTCACTGTGTAACAGGGGAAGTGCTATCAGTACAAGAAATAATGATGTAATTTTTCTGCCAGAATCTTGATTAATATTAGTGTAGTATTTCTATTAAAAATCTATTAAAGGTATTGAAATAACTCAAAAACTACTGGGCCAATTTTAAAAATTCCTTCATTGTTTGGAAGGTAATTCTGTGAATAACAAAAGCTAACTGTATTCTGTTTTTTATATTTTATTTTCTCGTGGAAGTCGCGAGCAACAGCTAGTCTGCACTATTTTTAATTTAGCATGACATGATATCCCTAGGATTGGGTACGCACGGGCTCACAGCGGACTCCTCCGGCGCGCTCATCTCTCTGCACATCGCTATGAAGAACGAGTTGCAACGACATGTAGACGTCTACAAGCAAGCGCTGCACAAACTGGAGGAACTGGTAAGCGTCCTGGGAGATATTTATACGACCCTTATTAGCTCCTTTTGAGTAAACAGGGCTTTATGATACTAAAATTCGCCTTTAGTCCTAGGCAATTCAACCTCGGCATATGCGCATACTATTGCTTGTGATAAGAGAAAACATGCGCAAGTAAAAACATAAGTAAGTAAGTTACGGGAGTAAAAATGTAAGTGCGAAGTGAACTCTGCCTTTAGACGTATCAATTATTTCAAAAAGTTGCATATACGATACTTACGTTTAATATACAGAATAGGGGATGGGAAAACCGATATTTCCCTTTGACAGTATATGTTTTAAAATTTGAATCACTATTTAATTGCTTTAAAACATAAGTATATCTGACAAGACGTTATTTGTAGAAAAAACATTTGAATGAATCTCGTATTTACTAGAATATGAATCATTTTGCGAAGTTTATTATTGGTTTGGTGTGGCACGTTGTTTATGGCGTCAATCTTATATCATAATAAATACAAAAAGCATGAATAGATTACGGTGTTAGGTAACTAGTCACGTAGATTACGTGTCGCTACTTATAGATGTTTGATTTGTTATATGCCGCGTCTCAGAACTGTGAGTTTTTATTAGTCGAAAGAAAGTGTTACATGACTTGTTAGTCTGTACACCAACTAAACTATCGCACAACTGTTTAGTCTCGCTTTGATTCCTATCACCTTATATGAAGGTGCGTACAGTTGAATTGGCTGAGAAACAATCGACAATCGCAAACAGTCGTGCGATAGTTTAGTCAAAGTGTGCGCACGCGCTAATTGTAATGCTATGAATCTAAGAATTACTCAATACTGATTATGTGTTTAGATTTATGAAATCCTTTCCTTGTACATCTTACGTTACTGTGATAGATATTGTATGACGAGTCTATATTCCAATGAAATAATAGGAATATCTCTATAGCAAGAAGCCAGCAGAAAGTAGCATAAATTCCCTTTAGATTCAACATCCCACTTCCCATTCTCTTCTACTTACTTATCTTGTAGAACTACAAAAGCCTAAACTAGAGGATTTCTACTTGAGACCTGTCTTTTATATGGTCTTAGCATAACGTTGGAGCGAGCCGCAGGTAATGTTTCGTCAGGGTCTACCATAGTTAATATTTATATTGCAGTCGCCAGTGACTCTACACAGCGACCCTGCCTCCTCCTCACACCAACGTCTCCTGTCCCTCTCACACGCGGACGTGGAGCGGCGACTGATCGACAACAAATCGCTGCTGACGGCAGTGGACAAGCCAGCGCTACGCCAGCTGCCCACCCTGGTCGCACAGCTCGCCGCGCGAGTAGAGAGCGACAAGGCAGTGCTGGCTTGTGTAGGACAGATCAAACGGACAGACCCCACGCTGGATCTAAGTGACACGAGGTAGGTTAACTTTAATAATTAAACTTGTCATGACTTGTAGGTGACAAAAAATGTTAGACTATCAACTGAAATTACTTACAGCGGGCGCACACCTTTGACTAAACTATCGCACAACGGTTGTGCGATTGTCGATTGTTACGCAATATAACTGTTTAGTTGCCCACCTAAAAATCGAGTAGGTGCGCACCTCCATATAAAGTAAGACTAAACAGAGAACTATGTCCAAACGATTGGAGTTCTTTCTGTCAGAATATGTGCAGCAAACAAAACAGCTTTTGACATTGTCCTTCTGTCAATTTCTATTTACACTCACCGGCTCAGTTATGTCCATAATAATTCTGAAGTAAACTTCAGCTAAAACGCATCAAATATAAATACTTGATGCGTTTTAGTTAATCTATTATGAATGTATGAGTGTTGTTTATTTAAATCACTATAATATTCTTATTTTTCCTATCTGTTTACCATCACTGAGTTCAAACCATCATCAACAACACGTGATGTAATCTCAAACGTTGCGTGAGAGTCGGATGTTCGCACGCTCAAATTAACTGTTTTTTTATCTCTGCTCACCGCAGTTCCGTACATGCACCGTGATATCACGGGAATACTACCAAATGATAAAATAATAAGACAGCGTTTAAGCTTTGATATGTATGAAATATTTATAATTGAAGATAGTTTTGGTTAACTAAACAAATAGTTTTAAACTCTAAATTACATAATTAAAGTAGGCTTTATCTGTTGGAAAATCGGAACACAAGCACTTTTTTAAATAAACATTAACAATATGTTTTGCGATGTTTTTGCACTATAAAACATACCAATTACAATCAATTTTAGGGAATTTTTCACGGATATCTTATATTCAACTAAATTTTACATAGAGATGAGGTATGTTTAGCGTGTATGTATGACATTATGTTACGCTGATTGTTGTATTGTGTAATTACGTGTAACACTGCAGACGGGGAACCTGTCAGTAACGGTCACGCGAGATGTAGCACAGAATTACATCCGTCAATTTAACTATGTTTTCGTAACATTGTAAATGTTCGTCAAATAAAATATTATGAAATAAGTGAAAAAAGTAAGGTTTTTTTGATAAAAAGTTTCTATTAGGTAAAACTATTTAAACGCAAATCATACGTAAGCGTGGAAAATTAGATAGCAAAATTTGTTCGAAGCTATACTTTGAATAAAATAAGAGCTTTCCAACACTTTCGAGTTTAACTCTGAGGGTAACTTTCTTTTACGGTCTCGTAAAACATTAATGTTACGTGAACTATTCTAATTTGATGTTACTGAGAAGACTTGTGATTTCTCCAATATAAGAGTATAATGTTCCGTGCAATCAATTAAGGTTTTTAAGTATTTCGGTAATAAATTAAAAAGGGAATTAATCTAATGTCCTATATATACGGAACATAGGAAAATTCTCTTTGACGTATGTTTTTATTGGGCATTTAGGTCGTATACATTTCTACAAGCTATTAAAAGGTTAGCAAACAATGTTACACTATGCAAAACTCACTGAACAATGTAATAAAGTCTGTTTACTGCATACAACGTATTGTTTGAGCTTTCGTTGAGAAATTGTTGCGTTTTCTTGTTTTGTTTTCACTTGTGCGTAACTTAGAAATTTACATTGTATGGAATCTGCATAAATACGTGTAAAAGTACATATATCACGATAGACAACGACACAACTTTATTATTAGAATTCGCTCACAACTTTGACTAAATTATCGCACAACTTTTATATCACGCTTTAATCTTATGACCTTACATGGAGGTACACACTACTTGATTTTTAGTTGTGCAACTAAACAGTTGAGTTGCAAAACAATCGACAATCGCACAACAGTTGTGGGATTGTTTAGGTTTGCGCCCGCTTATACGTTTACGATAACACGTTTAAAACCCTTATTTTGATGTAATTGATAGTAGTTAATTAATGTTTTTAAAAGCGTCACACAAAATTTTCCACCTTTTTTAATGTACGCAGTGACGTGTAACAATGGCATGTTATTGTAGTTAATTGGTGGTAGCAGGCCGGCTCCCATGCGCATGGTGAGGTGATATAATCGTTCCCAGAGTTGTCTCCGATTGTCTCTGAGAGGAAAGTCATTGTGTGATGTGATGCAATCATTTTGTTTTTGTGCGCTTTTACTTTGTAAATATTACGTGTAATTTGCGTTTGTAAAAGCGTGAGTACACATAGCGCGCGCACTCCACTGAACGCACCTACTGAGTTGTTAATAATAGTATTGTAAACATAGCAATACGTAATCGCAGTTTACCTTTTTTATAATATAAGGTGGCAACCAAGGAAGAGGTCACCGCCGAAATGGCGAAGCGAATACTGCTCATAGACATCCGCAATTGCAGATGCGTTCTTTCCCTTAATCAACGGAGGAGATGCACATAAAAAGGATATTTCCCTGTCCTATGCGTCTCCTCCGCCATCAAATCCACTTTTCCTTCCTTGCTTTACTTATAGGAAAAGGATGGAAAGGAAAAGGGACTAAAAATAGGTCACTAATCAAAGTATACGTGGAATTGTTCCCACTTCACGTGTGTCTTCTGTGTGGTCGTGGTGCAGCGGGCGCGGCGACCCATTCGACCATATGTAACACAAGGTCGGTGTTCCCATTGCAGGCCGGTAGCCGGGGTGCTGATGAGCTACTCCCGCGGCTGCGCGGCCGTGCTGGGGCTCATGGCGGAGGGCGGGGAGCCGGCCGCCCCGCGCTCGCAGGCCGACTCCGCCAGCGACGGCTACCATTCTGACAGCGACGACTCCCAGCAGCAGCCTGATAGGTACGCTGAACGACCTTTTTATTCAATTAACAAATATTACTAAATAATTATACATGATTTTATTAAAGAAATAAATATGATGTGATTGCAGACATCCTATGCCACAAAGTATGTTTACGCTTTATTATAATAGTACAGATACGCTTCTGTTGCATTCAGTGTTAAATGTATATTCCGTGATGTCCGTGCCAGGAGTGCCCTGGTGTCGCAGTACGAGGCGATGTGGGCGATGGCTGCGGAGGAGGTGCTGCCGGCTCTGGCCGCGCTCGAACCGCTCCAAGCCACGCCGCATCTCAAATACAAGATCGTCTTCTCCGTTGTTGTCGTAAGTTTCCTTGCATTACAAACCATCTCCCATACCTTATACTACTTTCTTCCTTCAAATAACTCTGTTATCCATCATCTCAGTCAGTCCCTTCCTCATGTCACCTTTCACACAATTCATCTCTTTCTGTCTACCTCTACCAGTGTACACACTCTTAGCTAACTATTCATCCCTTTTCATAATATTACATGTTAATTTTTTGATTTCTATATGTATAAAAATAACTCAAAAACTAATAGGCCAATTTTAAAAAATTCTTTTACCATTAAAAAGCTACTTTATCAGTAAGTAACATAGGCTATATTTAGTTTAATTCCTCGTGGAAGTAGTCGCAACAGCTAGTATTTTACATATTAAGTAATTATAGTTAACGACTTCGTCCCTCTAATATTAAAAAAAAAACAAAAAGCCTGTATTACTCAATGATAATGTAGCTTTATTTGGTGAAAGAATTTTTGTCCAGCTGTGTGGTTTTTGAGTTATTTCAATTCATCCAAATATCCATAAATACAAATCTTCCCACTCATATTAGTACTAGCTGTTCCCATGCGACTTCATCCGCATAAAATTATGAAAATTTTATTTTATTGTTTACATTTGTCAAATTATTTATTGCAAATGTCAAAATGACACAACATGATGACAACCTTGTTTCCTTTATGTTGGCAGCAACTTATGGTCTCTTTCTCATATTAGGGTTTAATCCAAAATATTTACCCACTAAGTTTAATGGCGTGAAAATATGTAGCCTAAAGCGTGCCGTAAGTGTAGGGTTTTTTTATTAAAACAGAATTATTCAAAAGTATGCTGTGATTGCTGATATTAGGAAACAAAGTGTTTGTTTACGCTTTATTATAATAGTATAGATAGATAGAGGTAAAAGCATGTTAAAGGTATATAGTGACTTTATCTTGACATTCCCGTAGCTGTCGTTCCGCGCGGTGATCAGTCTGCGCGACCGGCGCGTGTCGGAGGCGGCGGCGGTGCTGGGGGCGGCGGTGCTGGGGGCGGCGGGCGCAGGGGGTGCGGTGGGTGCGGCGGGCGCGGCGGGCGCGGCGGGCGCGGGCTTCGTGTCCGCCGCCACGCGGCTGCTGCGCACCACCGCACACACCTACCCGCTGGGCGACGCTGAGAGGACGGTCATCAACCAGGTAACAAATCGCTCAACTTCCACCACCCATGTCTAATACCAACTTTTCACCAGATAAAGAACTGCATCTTTTTGTAAACATGTTTTTTTACACTTCATTATAGTTATGTTTAATCTAGAATACTTATTTCTGATAGACTGAGACGATGCGTCTTCCAATTCTTTAGTAAATGGCATCAAAGTAGCTAAAAAGTTACTTAGATGGTTTTGTTATGTTATTTTTATAAACGAGAGGTGTTGAATCAAAGACGAGCTCCATATTTACTTATTTATTATATCTATCCTACCACTGTTACAATTGTATTAACTGTTTACTTAAACGTCTATCTATCTGTAATTACTTACAGAACTTCAACGATGATATTCTTTTACTCGTTCAACCTCTACAACACATCACTAGTATTGAGTTGTGTTGTGTTGTTAATGTTGTATGTTGTGAAATTTTGTTGAATGCCTCGTCTATACATCATGTATCAGTTCAATACTTTCAACTCCTCTATTGGTGTTGTTAGTTGTGTTGTTGTGTTGTGGTGCAGTGCAGTGTTGTGTGGTGCAGGTGGTGGGCACGCTGCGCGAGTTCCCGTGCGTGGCGGCGTGCGGCGCGCTGCGGGCGCTGGCGGGCGCGTGCTGCCGCGCCGCCTGGCCGCTGGCGCTGCACGCGCCGCCGCTGCGCATCGACACTGACTTCACTCCCGGTACACACTCTACATACTTCACTAATACTCTACAGGTCTTCATCATCCTCCTTGTCCTACTCCTGTAGCGCGACAGTTTTTTGTCCTAACTGTATCATACACCATCTCAGTCAACACTCCCTTTTTTATCATGTCACCTTTCACGCAATACATCCATCTCTTTCTATGTCTACCTTTACTGGTGTACCTCCACACTCATAACTAACGTTCCTCCTTGTAACATGCGATTCATCCCTTCAAATCCTACCCTACCAATTCGAATTTGGTTTTCGAACTCCCAACCATCACCCTGCTCTGTCCACACGTGGAGAAAGATGAGAATAAAAAGTTTCATCTGTCCCACCTTTTTCGACGAGGGGACGGTTGGAAATCATTTTTTTATAACGGTTCCATCTGTCACCTTATTTGCGATAGTGAGAGAGATGAAACTTTATTCTCATCCTCCTCGTGGGGACACAGTGGGGTGACGGTTCGGAATAATCCTAATTTACACGAAAGTGTGTCAACTATGCTTCCTTTAAATATTTGTTGAATTTATTTAAACTAAAACGTATTTTGTGTAACTCCAGTGGTGCTGGACCCGAGGCGGCACGTGCGGCTGAGCGGCAGCTCGCAGCGCTCCGACATCATCAAATCCTTCGTGTGCCCCGCGCTGCTGGACGGCGCCCGCTGCGTCTTCCGCGCCGTCGTGCTCACCTGACAGCGCCGACACTGCCTTCATGTACTACATTGCTCATCACCTCTAAAGTGGTACACATTTTGATATTCTTTCAGTTCCGGTACCAGGAGTACACCTTGTATTACTATTTCTTATTATAACATAAAGTGACAAACGACCGCTGCCCATACACATTCGCAATAGCGGATGCGTTGCTTATCCTTAATCGACGGAGGAGGAGACACACATAAAGATGTTTCCCCTTCCTATATGTCTCCTCTGCCATCAAATCACTATTCTTATGAGGAAAAGCGTGGAAGTACCAGGTGTCAAACATCCAGTATTTTATATATGTCGTAGTTGAGGGTAGGTGATTCCGATGTCAATAGTGAGTTTCTTTGTCGCTGGAGATATGTTTCGATTTCGTAGCAGAGTCCGTAACGCGTGATGGTTTCAACGGCACCGTTCTCGCTGATAGCCACGAAACAAGTGCGTTCCTTCTCACAGCTACTATTGAAGTGCTCTTGTTGTCGGTCACTCTAGAAGTGAGCCCTTGCTGACTGTCACTGTAGAAGTGAACTGCGCTCCGCTCGCTCGGCCCTTTTAAAACGTTGAGTCCATCAAACGCCGACAGGCGGCGCTGGCGTTACGTAGTTCTCTTTACATCCGCAATGTCGCTAGTGTCGCAATGCTGGCGCTAGTGTTGCATTGATTCCGACATATACATGTCTTATTTAAACTGTAAGCGAGATGTACCAGATGTTTTAGACCTGGTTTCGCTTTGAACTTGCTGTATTACCAATAGATATAGATACCAATTTAATTAACAAAAGTTTAATTTTCACTAAATTCAATACCAGAAGGGTTTCATTAGTCCAATATTATGAGACTACAGATTGGAATAAAATTGAATCTAATAATTAAAGTAAAAAAGATCACTTTACTTACTTATTTTGGTAATACATTTATAATAATTATGTGCTCAGTGTTGTTTAAATTAGTTACAACGATTTTTTATAATATAGTTTGTGTATATTATATTTTTAACTGTGTAAATAAACATTTAACATGTTCCCTTTCTAAAATTAACAAAGTTTCCTTAAGACACGATTAACTTAATTTATTTAAGTGTAAGTTATTTGAATTATTTTTAAGGGGTTATTTGTAAATGAAAATAAAGTATTTGAAAGTAATATAGTGATTTTCTTATAAAGCCAGTAACCAGCACACAGCTACAGTCTGCTTTTTTGGTATTTCTAGATGTCTCAACATTTAGCTTCTATTTCTTTATCATGAGTGTTAGCTCTTATTGTTTTGTTTTTGTAAAATACAAAGAATAGTGACTTATATTGTATGATTCAAATAAATATGTCGAACGCGGACAGGTTTATCTCTGACCGAGATAAGATACCTGATAAACTCTATAAATAAATTGGTTCAAGATAACACTCACCAGTACTTTCGACTACCAGTGAAGTGAGAAAGGTGTTTAAGGTTTTCCACACAAAAGTGTAAAAATGAGTTATCCTCCACCCGGCCCGCCACCGCCTCCGTACTACGGCGCTCCTCCACCCTGGCCCATCCCTCCCCCCTACAGCTACCCACCACCTTCGTCTTCTTACCAACCTCCTCAGCATTCGCACCAGTATCCTCCAGCACCAGATCACAGTCAGAGCGGCCAGCCCGCCCCCTACCCGTACTTCGTGCCGGGGACCATGATGGTACCAGTTCCCATCCCACACGAGCCTGCCAGCCAACCTACTTATATAACCAACTACATATACCATGGGGAAACTGCAGCGACCAGCACGGAACCGGTGCAGATAGCTGAGAGTTCTGGAGACTTCGATTGGATTCCCACGACAGCAACGACAGCGGGACATCTGACAGGCAAAGCGGTGCTCGGCGGACATGAAGGCTGGGATGGAAGCCCGCTCTGGGTAATCAGGTCTTGGCACAACGGAGATCTCATCCCCGGAAAGCTCTCTGTGAGACATAACGCTGCTTCTGTTATGTACAATGGCAAGGAGATCCCGGTGCAGAATATCGAAGTACTCTGTGCGAGGCCGGAGAACTTGCGATGGGTGCCGGCGTCTAATGGGAATGTACCACCCGGTGCTATTCCCGGGGGGAAGACGATGTCTGGGGAGACGCTGTACGTGGGGCGGGCGCGGCATCAGCTGTCCATCACTCCAGGGAAGGTGCATCCTAGTCACAATGCCTGCTATATCGGCTTTGGCGGCGCTGAGGTAGTTCACAAGATGTATGACGTACTCTGCAGGATAAGTTGAAGCTTTATTGAACGCAATCGTATTAAAAAATAGATATATGGCTCAGTATTAATTTTGCGTGCAATTTTATCTTTTACCGATAAGAGCTGATAACGTAAATAAAAGGAATTTTGATATTGTTCTGATAACTTTAGTGAATAATGATTATTTGTAAATATTTTTTTCTATAAATAAATGCCTTTACCTTAGTTGTGTTTTCATTTTATAGTATTTTATTAAAGTAGATATCTATATCTACACTATTATAAAGCGTAAACACATACTTCTTTGTTGCCTAGGATGTCTGCAATTACCCCATATTTTTTAATAATTCCTTTTTTAATAAAAAGCCCTACACTTACGTTACGCTTTAGGCTATATATTTTCACGCAATTAAACTTAGGGGGTAAATATTTTGGATAATAACCCTAACGTGGGAAAGAGACCATAAGTTGCTGCCAACATCAAGGAAGCAAGATTGCTAAGGTTTGTCATGTCATTTTGACATTTGCTATTGATGATTTGTCAAATGTAAACAATAAAATAAAATTTTCATAAATTCATGCGGATGAAGTCGCACGGGAACAGCTAGTCTAAGATAAATATTACTATCAATAGAAGAAAGCAACAAAAGCTAGATATTTTGTTAATTTTCATTCGATGACTTTTCGATAACTCGATGATATCGAAAAAGGGTTATCTCATAACTTCTAATCTTAACTATAACTAAATGCGTTATTATTACACATAGTTAAGTGCAAAAAAATTATTATTTCATACGAGTAAATACTATTGTGGGAAGGAGTGCGAAGTCAGACATCTAAATGAATGACATCATCTGCACAGTTGACCCTTGTTGCACTTTGACTAACGTGTACTTACGACTTCATATGTGTATTCGGAAGTAAAATACTTTGATATTGAATAACAAAAACTATTACATTTTGTTTTAAAATTAAGATTTAAAGATGTAAAATAAAAGACCTCAAAAATAGTTTTTTCCTTCTTTACTTGCGTCTCCTTTCTTCTAATCTAAAGTTTTTATTTTAACAGTTTCTTCCTATTATTACAAAACATTTCATAATCTGAAATAAACTACTAGAATGTGTGGTAATATATCCGCATATTAAAGCGACCTCACGGCAATAACGTGTTTAAGATAACTTGATAATATGAGGTCAAGTGGGGAGAGCTATAACCTAATTAGGAGCCCTGGGACAGGTCAAAATGGAGGTCATTGCCTCATAAAAGTTATGGATATAACATCTGATAGTTATCTGACCACATACTACAAATTACAGGATTAATTAGGACCATAGCTGTACACAGAGTAATACGTAATGTTTGTATAGCAAATTAACACGTCTGTACAGGATTGATAAAACGTAGAAACTACTCTGTGTCTGTTTTGATAGATCAAACACAGACGTCCAATCAAGCAAATGTAGGCTCGAGTTGGGCACTCGCAAGGCAGCCTGTCGACACTGGAGAGGTCGCTTTGTGTGGACTCTAATTAGTAGCTTTGCTCCGTCCTCTCAATGGGACATTTGATTATATTGAGCCTTGCACGCGTTATGTGCTGTCTTACAGTGGTGATGTCTTTGAAAGTATCGATTTTGATTTACTCCTTTTACGTGTTTTAGTGCAAATTAGTGGGAAAGGTTCTAAGGATCGAAAAAAGCTGAAGAATCAAATGATTTTTAAGATAATGAAACGAAAGTAACTCAAATAAATTAATATTGAAACATTCCTGTTGTGCATTTTAGTGACGATTTAAAATTAATTAAAAAAATCAAGTTTATTCGTGTCATTTTTTAATTGCCGTTAAATATGGAACCAGTAAATAAATTGTCAAATAAAATGGAAGAATGGAGCCACGACCAAGTCCTATCAGTGCTGCAGCGTTGGGAGATGAAGGAGTTTTGTGAATTTGTGAAAGAGAAGCAATTGGATGGAAAAGATTTATCGGTAAGGCTTCTTATAGTTTTTAGAGACTGTTACATAGTATTAAACCTCGATATTGTCATCATCTAAATTTAACTATAAAAGCAGTTTTGAAAAGATTTATTAACGATGTGACCTTACAACACTCTGAGAATTGATTAATTAAAACAATTGAGTCAATCACGATATGACACCGTGAGGATAATCCCTCTGGAGCATTTAAAGATGACACATATGAAACAAACACCAAAATTAACTATTACTTATGGACACCAATTTCATTAAGCATTTGAAATATTAGGTTTCATTAAACAATAATTAATTCAAGCGATAGGATTAGTGCGAGAACTGGAAATCATCAGTTACATTCGCTCGAGTTACATCAAAGACAACGGCAATCAAACACGCCGGCTAATGAAGCGAGGGCCGACGAACTTCCTAATTGATTACTTGTTTAGTACTACCGGGAGGATCACCGCTACCAGGACATCAGAAACGAGGAATTAACTCATTAGCAGATACATACATTTTAACTTGCATTCTATACCTACATTATGGCCATAAAAACGATAAAAAATACTTCAAAAGAATCTTTTAGTACTTCTCAATAACTTCTGCTTGTGTTTCTTTTACAGAATGTTACAGAAGGTGTTATAAAGCTATGGAAGCCGAAGGCTGATGCAAAGAAGATTGTCAATTTTCTCAACGATTTGAAACAATACCCAGATAAATATTTATCAACTTTGTCAAGCTCTAAGAAAGAAATAATAAAAGTAAGCAAAGAGACCAACATTTGTCCAGAAAGTCAATACCAGACGGTCACAGTAAGAAAGACTAGGGAAGAAGTTAATGTAAATACTGTGGAAGAAATATTAAAGAAGATTGTACCTGCTAAAAGTTTTCTATACAGAAATCAGCAGAAGAGAACAGAGAAAGCAGTAACGTCATATTTGCCGATGGACACAGGGACAGCGAAGAAGAGAAGTTTCTTTCGCCTCAGTTCATATGAATACCCTTTCTTTGACCTTCGATTAAGATTTCCTAAAATAGAAACCAATACAGACAGAGGATATTACTCAGTTAAATCAAACCGTTACTGTATACCAAAGACTTGTAAAAAGCAAGAAGTTAAAACGAAATACAAATCTTTGCCATCGCCAGAGCCGATTACAGACAATGTTATAGAAGATCATTTATATGAAGATTTAAATTATAACGAAATGAATAATATTAACGACACAAAAGAAACGCCATCTAGTGGCCACAATGTTCAAGTTAAACCTTGCATGGTGAAAATTCAGGAGCTTTTTCAGTCTTTTAAATTTCCTTTCTTTAGGAGAAATGAAGAAGTATCTCCTAGTAACGAAATATCTAAGGAAGAAAAGGAAATAAATATTTATGAAAATAATGATAATGTTTTAAACATGTATGATTCCATACATGTAATGAATGATGACGTCAAAGCTGAGAGTAAAGAAGAAAAAAATGTAAGTGATTATAATTTTATTAATTGATTCATTATTTAATCTCTTACGTGTTTAGAAAAGGCATTTTTTTATTGTTACTTGTTCACTTTTGCATTTACATCGCCGTTAATTTAATCTTTCCAAGTTACAGAAATATTTAAGATATTTTGCGTACGCCGGTAACATAATTTAAAATGCCTGCCCTCTCTTAATTATATAATTTCTTGGCCTTGCTTCAATAATAACATCGCATTTAGTACGGATGAAAATTACGTTCTAATTAGATTTCTTAAACGACGATTTTGTTTGTTTACATTCAACTAGTACATTTAATACACCGCTATCTTTTTTAAAAATCTCTATTTAAGTGATGCACGAATGGCAAAACAAAACAAAATTATTAATTTATATAATTTATATCTCTCGACTTTAGTCTTTGCTAGCACTCCTACAGCCACTATGTCGCCTCGTCGGGCTTTAGTGGTCACCTTCTATTGTTTTAGACTCTGCCTGTAGAGGAGTACTTGGAGCCTGTGCAGCTGCAGCAGGAGTACTGCGACGTGCGCCGCCGCCACGAAGACTCTCTGCTCGGATACATCATGAATTACTTTGAAAATAGATTTGGAACGAGACGAGGTAATAATAAAAAGATGGTTTTCTTTATTCGTGCGGTATGTCCTAGTCCAATTCATAACCACGTTTTGGTTTCCTGCAATAGTCGTAAGTCTGTCGTAAATTTAGTATAGGTAACCGAACTGAGGACCTTGTAATTAGTATATTCACGAGTAATCAAGTTAATTAAGTTACGTAGTAGTTTAGGATGTAATACGATGAGAAGGTTAAAGAACTAAGATGTCCTGTGGCTAAAAGACCCCGAAGCCTGTGGGAGGGGGGCGTGGGAATTGTGCCCTTAATGGAAGGCTCTATGTCGGCGCGGACATCGCCGGCCCCAAAGTGTTTCTTAGCCGAGGAAATTATGATAATAACGAATAATGCTATTCGACATAATTTCCGACACGGATTTAACGTTGGCTGCCTATTACACCGACTTTAATTTTTATTTCATCATTAATTTTCCCATTTAAGGATTTACTGTGATAAAAGTAAGAGTGAATTTTCACACACACATTTACCTTCTTCTATTCGCCATAGATCTATGAATTATTCGGTCTGATATATATATAACCCTGTTTACACTTCTAAAAGTACTAATAAAGGGGGCACCGCAGATATCTCCCACAGGGCGCTGATATCGCTAACACCGGTACCGGTTCGGTGTAAGAGACGGCGGTTCCGCTCAAAAGCGCGACTTCTTGCAATTAAATTAGCGAAATCTAATAAGTTGTAGCAGTAGGAGGCAAGGCAGGGGGGGGGGGGGGGGAGCGGTGAGCACTGACGTTTAATTATTCATGCCGTCAATCTGGAATACGCAAAAATCGCCGAGGCGGAGTAAAACGATACGCCTGGAGTATTTTAATAGCAACAGGATGTCGCCTTGTAAACTTTGCTACTTTACTTAGGAGGATGACTAGAATAATACATATGCAGGTAATTTCATGCAAAACTATCTTCAAATAACAAATACTTTAACGCACAATTATTAGTATTAAATTACTTGTGTTTGGAAAAAAAGAAAAAATTATTACTTTCTCATACTACGCGCGCGCGTTTTGTTTTTGTTTCTCAAAGCATCATGTGGACGACATCTGTGTAGTGATGTGAATAATATGGCATTTGTCGATAAAAAACCATGTGTGTTAAAATTAAGTAAGTTTACGAATTTAGTTATTTGAATTTTATTGATGTGTTGAAATGTATTTCTTTACGAAACGAAATATATGAACGGTTTAAAATTTAAAAATAGTAAAGAATATCATTAGCGAAATTAGTAGTTTCTTGAGTTAAAAGCTAGCTTAATGTACTTTCTGTTATTGAAAAAGACTAGTTTTTTCTTTATTTTACCTTCGAAGCATTTTTTTAGACTTTATAAAATGCCACTGTGTTTATCGATATAATGATTGTACGTCACTAGCGTATTGTCGTAGAATTTTTATTAATGAAACGAAATAAAAACATTTGTTTGTGGGACATTTTTAGTTGAGATGCGGCGTAGGAAAGCAATACCATATTGTTTTAAATCCCAAGTTATACGAAAAGTGTTAAATGTGGCTGTAAAATATTTATTGTATACGTGTTTAAAATTACTTTTTAAAAAGTTTTATAACCAGTGAGTTTGTTCAACATTAGCTCGTTCCATCATAATCTGGCGTTAACGAAGATGGAGCCTTCGTGAAGGCGCTGTGTGTACTCGGTTGCCTAGCAACCGCCCTCCCTCCCTACACCTAGCCTTGATTCATTAACGACTGAGTCTGTAATTAATGGTGACTAACTGCCGACACCGGAGGATGATCTACTGCCTAAACAATGCCGTCTTAACATAACCTTCACAATATCCTTGATTTTATACTGCCCTGGTACATGGAAAAATTGTTACTCGAGTTTTCATATAAAAAATATATACCACTGTCTCATTCAGAGTCTTTTAATATAGATTTCTTGATTAAATAGATAGGGTATTAATAATTTCGTAAATAAATCAAGAATGAATGCGAAGATTTGACAATGTTGTGACATAACTATGTGTTGGTGGATCAAAGTGAGCGTGCCCTTGCTCCATAACCTGGGTTCTCGCGTCGCTGAAGACGCAGTAGACATCTTCTATCGACTCTTTCATTGTCTTACTGATGTTGTTGCAGGTGAGACTTTACTCAAATCAGTTAAAGGTAACATGTGAAGAGTGAATACTATAGTTTTCTATTAGTATACTACGGTATTTTGTACTACGGTGTTTTGTAGTACAGTCGCGGCAATCTGCAGTATGCCACTAAAGCAAATAATGCCTCGTTTATCGCAACGAGACGAATTCTGTCTCATCCTACAAATAGCTAATTTGATAGCAGTGACTGTTAACGAAGGGATAGTAATTAACGGAAACATTTATTAGCTGCATTATATTGATTTTTGTTCCGCGTCTCGTTTTAAAATGTTTAAACAATTGTAGTTTTTAAGGTCGACACCGCCAGTTTCTCCAACTGTACCTTTGAATAAACTTGTCCCTTTGTGTTCCAGAAACAAATGACGGAACACATTCAGAAGATTCAGAGACAGATTCAAAAGACAACGAAGACAAATGGAATACGAAGAAGACATGCAACATGGCGGCGCGCCCTCTGCCGGTGCCTGTTGAAAACGAGCCCTTCTATATGAACGTGGACCGCGCGGAGGCGGAAAATCTGCTTAAGGGACAACCTGATGGGGCTTTCGTACTCAGACCTTCCAGCCAGGTAACCTATGCCTATTAACAATGCACCTACTTTAAATAACTTCGCCTTGCCAACTAACGCCATTGCGTTACAAGGAAGTTATTTAAAGTAGGTTTATTTAAAAGACAAACAGTGGTTTGTCTTTTAACCAAAAGTTTTATTAAGTGTAGTTTATGTATGTGTTTGTGTATAAAAATTAAAAAAACCTTAGATTCCAAAATCTATATAAAGTCTTGCAACAGTCAGAAGATTTCTTTAAAAATGTTACAAAGACTTTGAAGAAGTCAAGTTAATTCGTGCGTGTAAACATAAAAAGGGTTGCTATATCCGTATGTCTATTGATATCCAGCGCCTCACTCTCCAGCGCTCCGGTTAACATAAAGTGGTCTCAAACGACGTCAAACTCGTAAAACAAACATGTCTCGCGGATACCAATTCCTTTCGCTTCGGAATCAAGAAATTCCTGCATCATTGAAAGTGTCCTATTTTACGCTCGACCGGATCCATTCGGAAGGTCTCGAGTGATTTTATTTTTATTACCCCTGTCAACCCTTTGCTTGTTTTATTTACTTGTTTTTTACTATCCCGGACCTTTCCATTGTGTTGAACGAAAGTCAAGTGAAAAAATAGACAAGTGCAGAACAAAGCTGTAGTAATTTGTTCGAGAAGATAAAGTTTTGTAGAATTGGCGCCGCAATTTTCGATCCGTAGTGTTTTTTTCTTTTTGGAATGAGGAAGATATCTCAAGTAATGTAAAAATAAACAATGAACATAGATCAATTAGCTTGGAAGTGATTTCTGAAAGCAACCATTCCCCATTGTGACAGTATAGTTAACTATGGTCTAGTCTACCTCGAGCACAAGAGTGGGGATATATGGAGTGACGTGGATTAATTTTTTTTCATTTTCTGCAGCCAAACCACGCGTACACTTTGAGTGTATCGTGTGGCGGGGAGGTGCATAACGTGGGCGTACGACGGCGCTCCGACGGGCGTCTGGCGCTGGGCTTCGCACGGCGCGGTGAGCGCAGCTTCCCCACCGTGACGTCATTGTTGCGCCACCACCGCCGCCGGCGACTGCTGCTGGTGGCCGCCGGGGATGTCATCGGCGCTACCACCCTCACTGACACACCCCACTACTACCAGACACCTAGTAGTCTGCCAGTGCTGCACGTGTGACGGAACATTTACGTTAAATTTCAAAGTGTACAATCATTTTGTTTCGATCACATCAATCATTAATTATTATTATTATTTATTATTATTTTGGGTGACACACTAGCAGCTAGTTAGCTGATGCGTGTGTGTTGTAAACTCGGAGATTTTAAGATTGTCTAATCTATTTTTAAAAGCATTGACTGTTGGAGCCGCCACTACAGTATCCGGAAGCTTGTTCCATGCCTTAATAAATTAATCTTAATCTTATTTATATAAATGCAAAAGTTTGGATGGATAGATGTTTGTTAGTTTGTAGCCTAAAATGCTGAACAGATTTTGATGCAATTTGGTACAGATGTAGATGATAGTTAAGACACATAGGCTACTCACTATTGTTTTTTTTATTTAAAGCGGTCGGATTTGCGGCAGAAAGGTAGTACAAAATAAATCCAGTTGTTGTACTGGCTGTTACCCTTTGAATATTTTAATTTAGAGACAGCGTGATCTGCATATAATAAAACTTTAATATGAATTGTCGGTGCTAATATAACTACGGCTCTCATTGCATTTGTAGTCCCGTAGCGGCAGCAGGGGCACGTAGACCGTAGACGCTCTACGAAAATGTCATGACCTTTTTAATTTAGGAAATATATTTTGAACAGAATTTTTTGTGCCATAAATTGTACAAGAGCACGAGCTTTTGGGAATATTGTATTAAAATGTATTACGAGTCTAAGTTAAAATATTTCTCTCCGCCGCGGCCGCGGGGATGTCTGGGAAGGATTATTACATTGTGAATGTCTGAAACTGATCTTTTATAAATTCGGGTAACGATTCTTTATGTTCATAGTTAATCAAACTGTTTATTTAAATATTACTTTACTTATTATTTCACACATAATGTAAGAAATTGTATTTGTTTAGCTTAAAGAATGGTTTAAACTTAAGAACTGATTTATTAAAGTTAAGTTAACAATGGATTTGTTTTTCTTAGCAGTAGAACCTCACTGTTATATTAAGACCTTCGTGTATTTTTTTAATTAACATTAAAGTTACAAAAATATCATCTTTACGAAGGACATACCAGCTCGTTGTCAACTGACCAGCTGTTCTTGGCTGGTACTTTATCATTCAGCGAGTGCGTCGGACCCACGTAACTGTGAGCAAGCAATAACTGTCAAAGGCAAAGTAAATCTGAACTCACAAGTTCAACACTCGAACTGATTTCGTTATGAATTCCGAACGCGGAGAGAACTTGCCATCGATGGGGAATAAATCAAGGTGTTTTTATACATTGGAAAAATGATTTTTTTTATTAAATGTTTATTGTAATTTTAACTATTTTAGATAATAAACTTAGTAAACAGTGTATTTCATAGAATGTGTCTTGTTACTTCCTAAATGTAATATCCATTAAGTTACAAATCTCTACAAGATTGCAGATAACTTGGAAGCTTTTAAGTTTATTAAGAAGTAAGCACGGAGCATTTGTTATTCAAGACGTCTTGTACCGATTACTTAATTTTTTTGTATCGTTTTTGTTATTTCATTTAAACGAATTATTTTTGCAATTTCCTCCTAAAGAAATTAAAAAAACATTAATCCGTTTCTAAAATAATCGGTAATGTTTTTTAATATTCATTTTGTAACAACTAATGTATAAGTATTCAAGTATAGGATTCTTTGGAATTGATCATAATTCAATTCTGGCGGCAAACCTGCAGCGATCGAACATAAAACTGGGATCGCTACACTACGTGACTCGTTTACGCAGCTCCCCAAACCGAAACCATTTAAAAACTTTTAAAATAAGAAAAATCCGTTTCTGCCTAAGCACGGTCGTAGCTTGAAAAAATTGAAATGCGATTTCGTTAACACCATATGGAATTTTTCTCTTAATATTACAGACACTTGATATTTATTATATGTCTAGACTAGCTGTTCCCGTGCGACTTCATCCGCATGAAATTATGAAAATTTTATTTTATTTATACATTTGTCAAATTATCAATTACAAATGTCAAAATGTCATGACATGATGACAACCTTGCTCCCTTGATGTTGACAGCAACTTATGGTCTCTTTCCCACATTACGGTTTTTATTCAAAATATTTACCCCCTAAGTTTAATGGCCTAATATAGCCTAAAGCGTGAAGTTTAACGTTTAACAGTGGTAGAGCCCGCTTTAACATCTTAGCACTGCAGGGCCGGCTCGCCCGGTGTAATACCACGACCACACAGAAAACAGGCGTGAAGTGAAAGCAATTCCGCGTTTCGTCTGATGAGTATGGTGCCGGAGGCCTAATTTTAGTCACTTTCACTTTCCACCCTTTCCTTAGGAGAGAGAGAAGGGAAGGAAAAGTGGATTTCACGGTGGAGGAGACGCATAGGAAGGGGAAATGTCCTCTTTATGTGCGTCTCCTCCTCCGTCAATCAAGGGTTGGCAGCGCATCTGCAATTGCGGATGTCTATGGGCAGCGGTCGCTTTCCATTTCGGTGGATACAGGTGGCCGCTTGCTCGTTTGCCACTTTATATTATATAAAAAAAACGTAAGTGTAAGGCTTTTCTTTAGAAAAAGAATTATTCAAATATATGCTGTAATTGCTGACATTTTAGGCAACAAAGAAGTGTGTGTTAACGCTTTATTATAATAGTATAGATATAGATTTAAAAAAAGGGTGATGAGTGTATCGTACAGACATACATACGTGTATATATACGTATGTTAAATTGATGGCATGTTGCCGTGAGGTTAATGGGTAACTTCCTAGCATAACGTGTGTCGATCAGAGTTTATTTTTCGATTAGATGGAGTAATGTGGATATGATTACTGTTATCAACACCACCAGTCACGTGATATTACTAATAAAAGCCGTTGTCCTGAATACGGTTGTTAATGTAATTATTTTTGTATTATAACATTGTTTAATTATAATAATAAGCTATTATTGTTGAGGTTAATTATTTAGTTTTCCCGCTTCGTAACAGATGGCGCTTTATAAATTAGATAGATATCTGCATAAAAAGTTTTTTTCTATATTTATTTTCATAAAACTGCAAAGTGTACTACTTTCATATTAGGACTATTGCTGGCTGGTTATGGCTGACATTTGCATCGCGAACGCGCGAAACCTGTTTGTATGATAATAATTCATGAATAATAATAACAACAGTTCACTCAATGCAATTTATGTAAACGTCAAAAAGACTGAACATCACGAAAATATCCTTCTGTCTTTATATGTTAATTCTTAGATGTTTTAACATCCGTACCATACTAATACTAAATGCACCACTTGCCATACACGTAGAACATAATTTGTAAGAATACATATGCTATTTACTTTTTTAATTTTACGCAGATGAAGTAATGGATGATTTTATTCCACACAATCTGTTTATTTTACTGTTTAAATTTGTCAAATTCTCAATGGCAAATGTCAAAATTACCGTTAAATACGTTTACACCCTAAGTTTAATAGCGTAAAAATGTATAGCCTAAAGCGTGTCGTGTGTAGGGCTTTTTATTAAAGAAATAATATGTGTTTACGTTTTATTATATTAGTATAGATATAGATGATTTCTCTACAGTAATATTAGAGGAGATTACATGTTTAAGATGATGCGATAATGTTATTTGATATACTAACGGGCGGTGAATCTCGCTTCGAATCGCAACGAGGTCACGTTCTCGCTGCGTGGTGATGTATTTGTTTGTGGTTAACTTTTGACATAACATCAGCCAAATTTAAGGTGATTAAGTTCAGATTGGAATTTCTTATTAGGAGAGATCGTATGAGTATGAGTGTGGTACCGGAGGCCCGACTTTAGTCCCTTTTGCTTCCCGCCTTTTCTTATAAGAAAAGGATGGAACCGGAACGTGGACTTGACGCTGGAGACGCATTGGAAGGGGAAATATCCTCTTTATGTGCGTTTCCTACTCCGTCAATTAACGGTAGGGAACGCATCCGCTATTGCGAATTTCTATGTGCAGCGGTCACATCGCCATTTTGGCGGAATCAGGTGGCCGCATGTTCGTTTGCCACCTATGTGTCGTTTATCATAATAATTGCTTCTGAATTCTTTAGAGTCGTCAGATTTAACGGAATTATTTTCTACAATTTGTAATGTATTTTTTTAGAAACGTAAAGGAAGCTTTACTGTTTACACAGGAGAGTTAACAACGTCTAACCGATAACAACTTCAACGGAGCATTGTTTGTGCATTGTTGTAGCTACATTGCTGTTATGAGCTCAGAGCCGCGTCTATGCAAGTTTTAACATCGGATAAACTTCTGAGTCGTAATGTATGTTTATTAAATAATAGTTTTAGCTAGCGACGCTGTCCGCGTGGAATTAAAACACAAAGTGAGTGTTTATGTTCAACGAGACAAATTTCATCGAGATCTGTTCAGCAGTTTAGGTTACAAATTCTATATCCATCCATCCAACCATCTAAACGTTAGCACTTATAATATTAGTAAGAAGTAATATGTAAATTAATATATCTGTTAAGATATCTGTTAATATTATGTACTCGTTTTCCTTGTTCTATAAAAAATAAAACCTCAATTTTCTGTATATAATTTGAGTAAATGGATTTATTAAATCTGTGTTGCGTAGATTGTTAAGTAGGGCATGTTTATGGTTCGCAATCGGCTCACGTAGCGCGGGAAAGGTCGGCCGCGGATTGTCCCAGTCTCCAAGACTCCCGGACTATTAAACTCCAGGAGCTAGGGAGTCGATACTTAATGTGTTGCTTCCAAACTATGATAATATCAAGTTATACTGTAATAAATATTCAAGATAGCTAAGCGGGGGAGTAGTTAGTATCGCTATAGATAATGTCGATATTTGAATAAATACATGTTATAGTTCGTTCTTTTTTTAAAAATGAATGAAGTAGAGTTGAAAACTAGAGTTGGTATTTGACGTAAACGGAAAGTTTCTTTGTAAAAAATTAAGTGCAAATTTCGCTACGAAAAAATGGTTGTTGAAATAAAAGAATGAATATAGATTGTTCAAACGTTTTTCTGTGTTTTTCAATTTGATCACGATTCGATCAGTATAGTATCGTCACAGGTGACGGGAAAACGTTACTTTTTACTCACCTTTTTGTTTCATTCGATACGTGAGCAGAAGATACGAAGATATTACTAAAAAT